CATTTTCATTGTTTTTATTTTCAAAGGATTAGAAACAACCTAATGTCCATCAGAAGGGACTGGTTTAATAAATTAAGATACATCTATACAATGGAATAGTATGCATCTATAAAAAAACAAGGAAGGCTTTTATATACAGACATAGACTCATCTCCAAGATATATATTTTAAGTGGAAAAAAAAAAACACAGTAAAGAAGAGAATGTGTGGATTGCCACTACCTTTCTCAAAAGAGAGGAGAAAAAGAAATTCAACTGATAATGTTGGTTAACCCTAGGAAGAACTGAGTGACTGGCAGACAGAGACGGGACAGAGATCTTTCATTGGATGTACCTTGTACTATTAGAATTCCGCACCATGTGAATATGTAAGCAATTCCAAAAAAATTAAATTTAAGGAAGAATAATTGGGTATCCCAACAATGACTGATGAACACGGATTTATGAAGAGAGTTCAGAAGTTTAATACAATTACTAATGAAGAACTCATGAAATCACTAGGAACTTCCTGCTTTGGATTCAATAAGTCAATCCACAGAGGAGTCCAAAAATGGACAAAGGAAATCAACTGTTTTGAAGTTCTTTGAGATATTGGAGTTGAGATATTAAAAATAAAAATAGGGGTCATATCAATATTTCACAATGCTATTTCTTGTTACCAGACTTTTATGTAGTTTTAGGAACTGATTTTGAATCTTCTTCATAATATCACTACTAAATTTTATATTAAAATCTAACTTTCCAGATTTGTTAAATTTCTAAGATCAGAGTCCACACTTTCTCCTAGGTGGTTTGTGATCATTGGTATTTGTTGATTTGGCAACAATTGACAACTTTAAAATATTAAGCCATCACATCCAGAATCCTGGACTATTTTCTCATTTATTTAAATGTTAAATTATTTCCTTGATACAGTTTTTTTTATCGAAGTCTTGCAAATTTTTTGATAAATTAATTTCCAGAAATATTTCTATTTTTGTTGTTGTGTTGTTGTTTCTATCATTTTCTTCCTACTAGTTATTGCTATTTGAGAAAAATGCTACTGATTTTTGAGATTCTCTTTCTACCTGCAAACTTTTGTTGGTCTTGTTTATTTCTATGAATCTTTTTATTTTACTTTTTTATCCTTTCTATACAAGTGATCTACGTACAGATGGCCTGCAAATAATGATGTTTCCTTTCCAACCTCTATATCTCTTATTTTCTTATTTTATAGCTTTGACCAAGACCTCTGGGATTATATTAAACAATACCTGTGAATCAAATGCCCCTTTGGTTTCCTCCTATAGTACCATCCATATTCCTCTCATTTGCCACACTGCTATAGTTGGAATTTCATAATTGAGGTGATTATTTTATTAATATTAATTTCCCTCATTGTACTATAAGCTCCATGAAGGAGATTTTTCTCACCATTGTATCCCTGGCATAGTGCCTGGGATGTATTTATCTCAATAAATATTTCTTGAATGAATAAATGAATGGCCTAAGCTGATAAATAAGAATTAAAGAAAATCATAATAGATGAGGACCATAATTTTCTTATCTTGCCTTTTCCTCCCCTGTTCCAATTACAAGCTCATTAACACTCAGGAGCATATGTATCATTCAGGGTATTTTGGCTGCAAGCACCAAAACTGGCTGGCTAAATTAAACAAGAGGGGAATTTACTGGAAGGAGTTAAGGAGATGGGGATTAGAAGATGAAAGGAAGGCTGAAACCCTACACATAGAAAAGAGCAATTCCGAGGGTGTCAAATAGAAACTACTCGACAGTTTTGTCAGGGTGCTGCTGGGGCAACCAAGGAGCACCAATGACTCTCATTATCTTACCGCTCTGATCAAGACCCCCCTCCATCTCACAACCCTGAGATCACCACCTGAGTCAGAACCAAGAGTCAGAAGCTTAACCAATGGAGCCACCTGGGCACCCCTACCCAGGTTTTCATAGGCTATTTGTTTCATTCTTCACATTTATAAGTTTGGTCTATTTGGAGTTTATATACATATTATTACATATATATACATGAACATTATAAAACATTTACAAGTTTTTTCTCTTCCAAATGGATATCCAGAGATCCAACCCTATTCATTTAAAATATCATCTTTTTCCTCAGTGATTAGAGATGCCACTTAAATCATAGGCTAAAATTTTCCATTTGTTTGGGCCTATTTTTGGTATTTCTGTTCCATTGGTCTGTCCGTTCATGAGCCCAATACTACATTGCTTTAATTATAGAGCTTTTATAGTATGTTTTAATAGCTGATATGGCCAGCATAATCTACTGTTCTTTGGTGGGGGAGGGGGGTGCATTCCTGTCCGTTCTAAATTATTTATCCACATGAACTTTAAAAGTAACTTGTCTAGCTCCAGGAAAACAAACAAAAAACAAAACCATGTATTGATATTTTGATTGGGGTCATGTTAAGTTTACATATTAACTTGGGAAGAATTGGCATCTTTAAAATGTTTATCCAAGAATAAGAGATGTTTCCATTAGTTCAAGTCTACTTTTGCATTTTGGGGTGTATTTTTTTTTTAAAGATTTTATTTGTTTGACAGAGAGAGACACAGCGAGAGAGGGAACACAAGCAGGGGGAGTGGAAGAGGGAGAAGCAGGCTTCCCGCTGAGCAGGGAGCCCGAAGCAGGGCTCGATCCCAGGACCCTGGGATCATGACCCAAGCCGAAGGCAGTCACTTAACCGAATGAGCCACCCAGGCGCCCCAATTTTGGGGTGTATTTTAAGGTTTTCCTCATTACAGGGTTTGCACATTTCTTGTTAAGTATTTCTTTTTGATATTGTTTGTATCACACCAGTCATTGGTAATTGTGTATGTGAAAGCTATTGCTTTGTATGCTAATTTTTATCTTATTACCCTGCTGTATTACTTATTACTGTGCTGTATTAGTTTTAATTTTGATTTTTCTTGTGTTTTCCACCTAAACATTCAGGTCATCTGTATGTATTTGCCTCTTCCTTTGCAATCTTGATTTCCCTCATTGTTTTCTTTTGTCTAATTGTTTTGTTCTTTACACCAATACAATGTTAAAATGGAGGTACCTGATAGCCCGTCTCCTTCCTTGACTTTCTGCTTACTTTCCTTTGATGAGAATGCCAATAGTGTATCCCCATTACACAAGAGGCTAGATTTTATTTTTTTCCCTAAGGATTTATTTATTTTTAAAGAGGGGGGAGGGGAAGAGGGAGAGAATCTTCAAGCAGACTCCCCGCTGATCACGGAGCCCAACAGTATGGGGCTCCATCTCAAGACCCATGACCTGTGCGGAAACGAAGAGTTGGATGCTTAACCAACTCAGCCCACCCAAGTACCCCTACATTTTACTTTTTAAAAAATCAGAAATGGGTGAATTTTGCCAAAGGTCTTTTCATCATCCATAGAGAAAACTATGATGTTTGTTCTTAGATCTACTACTATGCAAGTTGTATGAACACATTTCCTAATACTGAACCATCTGTATCAGTCATGCTAAATCACCTTAAAATGTGCTATAGATTGTTTACTAATATTTATTTAGGACTTTTGCAGCAATATTCATATGTGAGATTGGTCTGTGGGTTTTTTTGTACAATCTTTATCAGATTTAGGTATCAACATTATTCTTGCTTCATAAAAAGAAAACTAAACTTTCCTTCATTCTTCTACATTTTTAAGTTTACCTAACATTAGGGATTATTTGGTACTTTCCTCCTGAAACCATCTGGGCCAAGCACTTTTTTGTGGGAGTTAATTCTTTGATAACCTTCTCTATTCCTTCTGTGGAAATTTTTGTCACTTTCCACCTCCAGTAAGATGAATTTCAGTGAATTCTATTTTTCTAGGAAAGTAATCATTTATCAAATTTATTTGTAATCCTATGTTTGTTTGAATACCATTTTACTGGCTATTTCTCCCTTTTATTTATTTATGGCATTTGTGCTTTCTTTCTTGAGAAAGCTAAAGGACTGTCTTTGTTTTTTTATGAACTCTGTACTTATTTTACATCTAATTATTTTCTGCTTTTATTTATCTTTATTAAAGAATTTCGGGGGAGGGACCTAAATATCAGAACTATGGGATTCTATTAAATCAGTGATGGGGGAAATCTATAGCTTTTAAATACTTTATGTAAATAATGAAAATTAAAATAAGTAAATATTCAACTCAAAAAAGAAAGTAAAGAAAATAGACGGCAATAAAGATAAAGTGCTCGACCTTCTTCAAGTCAGATGCTGACAAGATGGAAGCCAACTGCCACATCATTCTCCTAGAGCGGCCCCTGGATGTGGACTACTATGGAATGATGACATCCTAGAACAGTCTGAATTCATGGCTACTGCTCCAAGCACAGGGCAACCATCTCCTCAGGTGGCCCAGACATTTTAACCAGAGACAGGATGGAAGTATAGTTTTTCCATGCGGATCTTTAAAAATATTCTACTACTAGCAATCCATAACAGCAAAGGGGCAGATTTTGCGCAACTCAATCCCTACTAGTAATTAATACTAAGCTGAACTGTGTCCAAAATGACCTGTACACAGTTACTATAGCTACTTTAAAATTAAAGCTAAAGCTAAAATATGCCAAAGTCTACAAGGTTGCATGAATCTCAGCAATTAAGTGTAAAATTTTATATTTACCAATGTTTAGTATTTAAAGGAATTTATTTCCTGAAACCTTATCTACCATCTTCAATTTCAATTATATTTGACAGACATTAAGAGCACACCAGGGAAAATATTTATAACAAATAAAAAGAAAGCATACAAAATTACACATGTAGTAATGACTTTGCAAAACAAAATATAAATATGCCATATTTTATACATCAAAATATTCACAGTGGTAGTAACTCCTTGAAGGTAAAAATCCCTGTCCTACTCGTCTTTCTAGTGCCATTTTACAGAAGAGTGGCTGGTACAAAGTAGGTATTCAATAAGTGCTTGCTGGAAAAAATGAAAGTGAACAATATACATCTTCAAAAAAAAGGTACTCGATCAAGTAAATATATGAAATTTTAATATTTTTATCTGAAATATACAAAGGACTAAAGACAAAGTTAATACCTAACTAAAATTCTCTGAAGTAACTTCATTATTACAAAGTTAAATCTTGAGTCAAAAATCCAACTCTAAAAATATGGTCTCAAAAATCACATATCTACATATAACACTAAGAAAGTAAATTGTCTTATGCTACATCATCATCATCCACTGCAGCATAGATGGCTTGATTCCTCCTCTTAATTTTCTTTCTTTGTTCAGGTTCATGTTCATCACTCAGCCTCTTCAATGGCAACTCTAAGTCATTTCCATCCCCTGACTCCAGAGCCTCACCAAGTTTCCCCTCTCTGCCATCTGGGGAACCCAATGTATCATCAGAAGATACAACCATGGAACCCGGCAAGATCCGGACATCAGAGAAGCTTGCAGAGAAGTCAGATGCTTGATCAGAAGAAGGTTCTACAGATGGTGTATTCATGTCACTATGTGTACTTACAATACTATCTTCATCTTCCTCTTCTTCATCTAACATTATTTCATCTGGATTAATAGAGGACAGGGCAGATGTATCTGTGTTATATTCACTACGGTCTTCTCCAGAGTCATTACTCTCCATGTCATCCTGCTCTTCAAATTCACCACACAAGTGATGTTCTTCCTTGGCCTTCTGAAGCCTGACATTCATGTCAGTGATGCCAAGTTGGGCACAAAATTCAGTAGTTTGAGGATTGATCCTATGAACCAACTGCATTTGTGTCTGTGGCCTGCTAGGGTCATAACAAGCAGCTGTTATGCTAAAGTTACATGGAACTTTGAGGTCATGATTCAGTATTTCCAATACTTTGTTCATAGCTTCTTCTGTTGCACTATAATCCCACCTACAAAAGTCCAAAACAATAGCTTTTTACATTTTATCAGCCTCAGACAATAAAAGATGAAATCTAACTATGGACTTCATGTGCAAGGATAAAATACAAACCATATATAAAAATTCCATCTAACAAAATTATAATTTGCCAAAGGACCATTTTGAAATAAAAACAATTCTTAGAAAAAACTTAACTCACACTCTAAAACAAGTACAAATTACTTTAATGTGTTAACCAAATCTCCACTATATTATAGTTAGTTTTACACATGCTTATTCATTTATACACTTATCTGGGTTGGTATTCCCATCATCCATTTTTATAACCCTTGATGGAAAATTTGTAGTTTTCCATATCAGTCATTAAACCCTGAATTACTCTGACACTCATTTAACAATAATTTCCTTGATTAAAAAAAAAAAGAAAAAGGTGGAGGGGTCAAAAATTGGGCACGCAACAGAGAGAGCAAACCCTAAATAAGGTCAGACTTACCTTGTATGCAGGCCATTATTTTCAGGCATATTCCAGAGGCGCTCAGTCACATTAATAAGATCATCAGTAGCCCTGAGAACAGTGAGCCATTCAATATCATACTCTAAGTACTCAGGAGCACTGGGGTCATGTTCTATTTCTATTACCTATAGAAAAGAAATCAGTTATTTTAAGAATGCATTTCTATTTTTAATATTCTAAGAATTTCAATAGCTAACAAACACATAACTTAAATGTTCCCAAAGAATTCTCAGAATACATATATTATAGAGTATAAATAAATTCTAAAGGGAAAATTAATATTTTTCTAATCACTGGAAGAGCAAAACTATATCACAAAGGTATTTCATTTTCTTTTTACCTGAAGAAAGTCTCTATGTGGTAAGCATTTGTCCAAGGCTAAAAATTTGGTTGCTTTGGCTGTCTGTCCTTTATCCTTGGCCTAGAAATATGAACCATGATTTAAGAAAAAATGTTAAAATATCACAATTAATTCATACACAGAATAGGATGGAAACAATCTTTATTAAACATATCCCTAAGTCGTGTGTCAAAGCAACAACTGTCACTGTTCCAAAATAAGTTAGTTCTATAACCACTTGTGTAATGACAGGCAACGCACTTAAACTCTCTGGGCTTCAACTTCCTTACAAAAGTCAAAGCAGACACAAATGCTGATGATAATATTGATACTGTTAAAGCACATAACGCAAAGGTTAATGATAACAGAAGAGCTTAAAAGTAATCTGGCAGAGCTAAAACTAAACAACTTTTAGAAGAAATTATACGGAAAAATCTTTATAACCTTGGGCTGGGCAAAGACCTCTTAGATACAACACCAAAAGTAGGTATGATACATTCACAGAATGAATGTGATGAATGTGATGAATTGCATCTTCAGCAATAAAGATGAAAGAAATACTAAACCTGCTGAATGAATGAACCTCAAAAACAAGCAAAGAAACCACAAGCCAAAGACTACAGATTTTTGATCCCACTTATATAAGTGTTCAGAAAAGGCAAATCCAGAGAAACACAAAGCAGATTAGAGGGTGCCTGGAGCTGAGGGTGAGAACACGGACTCACAGCAAACAGACACGAACGATCTTTTGGGGTGCTGGAAATGTTCTAAAACTGGGCTATGTGATATTTGCTCTGGAAACATCTGGAACTCTGGAAATATACTCAAACTCAGTGAATTGTACATTTAAATAGGTGAATTTTATGTTATGTAAATTATACTCCAATGAAACTATTAAAAAAAAATGCACTGGCAGAAAAAAACATGGGCAGGAGGTGGTGGGTCAAAACATGAAGATCATACTGGATGCAGTAAAAAAGTGACTCAGGGAGAACAGTAAGGCACATGGAGGAAAACAGACAAGGAAGCAGGCTATGGGCCATCCTGCTGTGGGCCAGGTTTCAGTTCACTGGTGGTGAGGGACTAAGAGAGGTGCAAGGCACACAGATTACAGGCAGATGATGGCAGCAGGGCAGTTCTGAGGAAAGGTGATTTTTGGTGTTGGAAAAAGGGGATGAAACAGAGAACACTGGCAAAGTCAGAGGACGTTGAGGAGCTAAGAAAAAGGGATCAAACGTATTAATTCAGAGATTTAAGTCCCTGAGGTTGACACCAGAAGATGGATGGGGAGGAAACTACCAAATCTCATGCTTCAATAAAAATCCAGGAGTGTCATGAGCCCTAGGAGACAGAAGAGAGTAACACAGATGTAGAAAAGGTGAGATATAAACCGATGACTTGGACATTAAAAGAGAATAATCACTTCGGCAGTGGCCCAAAGGAAAATAAAAGGAGTAACCTTGCCTCCTCCTCCCAGTAAAACTGGGGAGTGAGGATAAGCCCACAACAGCAAGGGCCTACAGGAGTATTTTCAAACAGAACTTTCCAAACTGTATTTGAGGAACATCATTAAAGTGTACCCCCACCATGGAAAAGTGTTGGGTCAAGTTCAGGAAGCACTGCACACCACATTCCACTCTTGGAGAAAGGCAGTGCCCATTAACACATTAAAGACTCTCAGAAATTCTAGAGAAGCCTTTGAGAAGAAATCTCTAACCTTGTTAACCCAGCATTTTCTAAATGGTTTCTCTATGGAATACTTTATGGGGCAAGGCAGAGCTTGGTGAGAATGGGAGGGGAAAGGGAGAGCCATGCCATTTCCATAAAAGCCTAATTGTAAATATAAATTTATTCTCTACCTTCCAATGAGCACCATCATCCAAGCAGTTTCCCCAAGGAAAACTCGGGGAGTCCCTCTCTGTCACCAAATCCTGATGATTCTCCTTCCAAAATCTCTCTGGACCTGCGTTCTCTGTGTTCCCTCTTCACTGCAGGTTAGAACCTTGTCTTTTTATGCCTCCCATTTTACTTACTACAATCCATACACAAAACTGCTACCAAACTACCCTTTCTGAAATGAAAATCTGGTTTCACCACTCAACTTTCCCCCTTACCTTCCGGTTAAAACCCAAACTCCAGAGCATGGCCCAGAAGGCAGCTATGATCTCGTTCCAGCCTCATCTCTCCCTCTGCCTCAGCCATAGGGACTGCTGCAGTCCCCCAGTGCGCATCAGTGCCAGGCATTCAGGCCACCAGTCTTTGCACACACTGATCGCTCTACCCGGATGGTGTTACCTAGATTCAACTGCTTCCTGGCACGATCAATTCCTCTGGAAAACCTTCTCCATCTCTTCATCTCCTGTCCGCATCCCCATCTCAGTGCAGTATGGCAGAGGTGCTCCCACGGTATCCTGGCACTTTTCATCACCAATTTATTACACTATTTTATAATCACCTGCGTGTCTCTTCCCCCCAAGGATACGGAGTTACTCGCAAGAGCAAAGTCATCTTTGATCTCTTTCTCTCAATTTACAACTGTGCCCATAGTGCCTTAGCCCACACATATCTGGTAAGTGTTTGTTAAATGAAAGAATAAATATTTTTGGTTTCTACCTGATGCTGCATCAAGGCTGCAAACTTCACATGAAGGTGTGCGGAAAACCAGTACGTGGGCTTGAAGTGCTCTAAGAGCTCTGAGGCAGCAGGACTTCCCAATGTGTTATTCTCCACTTCTTGTCGGAAAAAAGATTTTGTCTTAAGAAGCTGCTGCTTATTTCCATAATGATAGATCTTTCTTGGCCAATCGTGAGATAAGAATATGTCCATAGGCTGCTTCAGCTTTAACAGAAAAAGAAAGAAAACTTTAAAAAAAAAGATCAAAAGCAATCCCCGGCTTTCTCTCTGCTACCGCACAACCGTTTGCCCACTTAGAGCTTTAGATTTCTCTGTAATTCATTCTAAGGAAACTTCATTTAAGAAGGTCACAGAAACACTAAGAAATACTAAGCTCATTCATCTAAGCCAGGAGAAACTGCTTTCTCTCTCCTCACAAATCACCCCTATTTTCCATGGCAAGACAGGGCCATACAGATACACTGGGATAAGACTGTCAGCCAGCTATGGTCTTTGGTAGAGGGCCTCCAAAATATATAGTAACTGTCATTCTTTTCCTTTCTAATGAATACACTGTTTTAAGATACAGAGACACCAGATTTCATGAGATCTCTAATGTAAATAATATAGTAAAACCCAAAGGTATATATTCCTTTTTTTTCCCTAATGGACTCATAGAGCATACACCTAAAAAACTGTGTTTACTACATAAATTATAGTAGAGGTATTTAAGGTGGCTGGTGTCTTCATGGGGAGGCCACAAAATACACTCCATACTTTACTGATCCCCGGCACCTTCAAGTAATCTGCAACAAATACTTGGAAAACTAAATTAAAATAACTTAAGTGTTCAAGACAATGCAAGATATGACAGATATGTCTAAACACTGAATAACTGATTCAGGCAGTAAGTGCAATGAAATTTCAGAACAGGCTGATGGCTTTAAACTAGAGCACTGGTGAGGCACCTGGGTGGCTCAGCTGGTTAAGCGTCTGACCCTTAATCTCAGTTCAGGTCTTGATCTCGGGGTCATGAGTTCAAGCCTCACATTGGGCCCCACACTGGGCATGGAGCCTACTTAAAAAACCAAACCAAACAAAAAACTAGAACACTGGTATCTAAGCTGGTTCTTCAAAGACTGGTAGGACTGAAATGGGGAAAAGGGAAAAAGCATTCAAGGTAGGAAATTGTTATGAGTAGGGTATTAAAGAAATGCCCGCAAAGCATCCTCATGCTCCTGCAGAGACTGTAGGGTACGGTGGGAAGGGCCTGAGAGCATCAGGCAGGCTCCACCCCTTAACTCCTTGGGAAATCCCGGGGAAGGCAACTTACCTATCTGAGCCTTGACCTCGCATCCTTAATGTGACAAAGTCAGAGTAACACCTACTTCACAGAATTGTGTGGCAATTATATGAAATATCATGTGTGAAAACTGCTTAGCCGAGTGTCAGGCACTTAATGTGTTCTCAAACAAAAACCTAGTTTCGCCTACTCTCCAGTTAAACCAAGTGTTCCAAAGCCACCTTCACAATTTTACCATATTCTCTATCCTTTTTACCACTATTTATTTCCTATTTAATACCATTAGTTAAAATATTTTAATATTTTCTTTAAAGTATCACTTTATGCCAATAGATATTCTTTAGCCTTATCCTAAGTAGTAATATCTGAAGTCATGGATTAGATGTTCTATTTTATTATTACTCCCTAAAATAAATTCATAACATTAGAATTAAAAAATGTTCATCTGTGAACCTCCTAAAAACAACTCAAGATCCAAATTTTAGAAATACTGAATTAAGTCTTCTTGGAAGTTATATACCAAAATGATCAAAATACACTTTGGTACAGAATTGCTTTAACATTTTTTCAAGTCTGCTATAATGTACTTTTTACATACCTGTTTTAATTTATAGACTTCAATATTTCTCACATGATATATACTCCTTATTGTAGCTGGATTATAAGGGGGACACTCAAAATGACCTTAAATTAAAGAAGAGAAATAAGCTATATTCAACTCCCTTAAATAGCGCAAATACAAATATATACATACACTTCAAAACTGAGGTGTGTCATTAATGCTTTTGGTTCTTAAAAATTTTATGAAGACACTGCTCTTAAAATGCTGGTATTTTCTACTAGTAAGTGATCACTAACTATAAATCTAAATAACTGAGGGGCTTATGATTTTTTTAATTAAATTATATTTAATATGGAATATGTTGGTTATTCACATCGTTTAAAAATTTAAAAGATACCATCAGAATGGAATGAGAAGAGTTCCTCCAGAGAGTAGACCAATGATGCCTAGGGCTGGGGTGGGAGCAGGGATCAACTACAAAACTTTTAGGAATGATAGAAATGTTCTAAATCTGGATGGTTGCATAACCCTATAAAGTCAATAAAATCATTGAATTGTATACTTCCAAAGATATGTAAGTTTTACCTCTACAAAGCTGCTAAAACAATGGGAGGCAGGTATCCTCCCAGCCACCAGTAACACTACCTAGAGGCAACCAGTGTTAATCAGGTTTTAGTATTTTATTCCAGGGATATCAACTATGCATATAATAATACACAAACTTCTTTATCCTTCCTTTTTTTTACACAAAAGGCAGTATAGTTTATACATGTCCTGTGCCTTGTTTTTTGCACTTATCTTGGCGTTCTTTGTATATGTCACACATAGAGCTGATTCTCTTCCTTTTAAAAAAAAAATAGTTTCAAAGCACTACATTGTATTGTTTTATCATGATATAGTTAATTAGTTCCTACCTTTTGTCATTACAAACAAGGCTGAAATAAAAAAATGTGTACACATCATTCTGCACTTATGGAATATATCTGTAAATTACATTCCTGGAAATAGAACTCCTGGGTTTTATAATTTCCACAGACTACCAGCTGTCCTCCAAAGAGTGGGAGGACAGTTTGCACCTACACTTGCCATGAAGGAGACAGCCTATTTTCGTACTCCTGTGCCAATAGCTTAGAATCATGGGGAACAGCGCAGCAGGGAACAGACTTGGGATTTAACAGTTACATTGAGGATATAAGTTTTAGCTGTCAACTCATAAAAATTTGAAATCAATGTGAACCCAAGTTATTCCTTTAACTTGAAAACCAAGGTATAATCTTTTCAGATACAGTGGAATGAATAAGTATAGTGTGGTATACTTCTACAATGGAATACTACTCACAAATTAAAATGAATAGAGTGAGATGTAGCAACATGGATTCCAAAAACTAAATAGTAAACAGTGAAGCAAGCTGCAGGAAGATACATGCAAAATGATACATTCACATAAAGTTTAAAACATGCTATATCATACACTGTTTAAAGCTGCTACACAACTCGTAATGACGTAATCAAGCGAATGACAAATACCAAATTCAGAAGAATGACTGCTTGGTGAGGAAAGGTAAGGATAAAAGGAGAATGGGACTAAGGACAGATAAACAATGAGCTCTGACTGTATCTAGACTGTTTCATTTCTTTAAAATCCTAACTAAAAGTCACAAAATACAAAGACCTGATAAAACTAGATGGTGGATACATAAATAGTATGTTCTAGTGTTCTCAACATTTTCCTATGTATAGAATATTTCATTAAAAAAATTAATAGTTCCGAGAAAAAATCCAATGAAAAAGTCAAACTATATATTATGCTTAAGTTACTCTGAAGCATGCAAGTTCTAAAGTTTAAAAACAATTCTCAGAATAATACCTTTTCGATAGTCATGAGATTTAAAGATACCAGAGATGCCACCAATCCTTATGCCTCGGTATTTTACTACCCCAGCCAAACCTGAAAAAGCACACAGTTAAATAAAATTACCATAGGCAGAAGCAATCTCTTTACTAACTAAATGAATAGTTTAAAGGCCTAGAACTCCATGCAATCCTAAAATTATTTGAAAATTAAATGTCATGATGAAGTTACTCTTTTTATAGTGATATGCCAACAATATATAAGGCAGACTATGGAGGAGAGGCCTAGAAGCAGAGAGGCAAGAGACTAAGCAGAAGGGAAGGAACAAATGAGATTAGGTGTGTTAAGGGAGAAACAGACATAATTTGGTACCTAACCGAATATTACAGTGGGTTGGGGGCGAAATAAGGAAAAATGTCCTATGATGGATTTATAGATTATAAAACTGAAAGTCAACAGATATAAAGAATCTGCAGTTTCTATACTTCATTTCTGACTGACGCTTCAAACATCTTCTCACAATATTGCATCTGTCAAAAGATCAACCAGTAACAAAGTAGAGAAATTACATTTCTTAAATTATGATGTCAGCATTAGAGCTATAAAGATTTTATTCATTTGAGGGAAAGAAAGCAGGAGCTAGGGGAGGTGCAGAGGGAGAGAGAGAATCTCTCAAGCAGACTCCATGCTGAGCAAGGAGACCAACGTGGGGCTCTATCTCACAATGCTGAGATCATGGCCTGAGCCGAAACCCAGAGTTGTATGCTCAACTGAGTGAGCCACCCCGGCGCCCCGCTATAAACACTTAAATAAAGAGAAGAAAGGACTGTATAGTCTAACAGGACTAAAACTGAACCTGAAAATAATCAGGCTGTGAATCTAAACACAGATTACAAGTAATGCAGAGGATAAAAGGAACATGTTAAACAACATGAGAAATTCCAATCAGCTAAATCCAGAAAGCAGGAAATTCTATAGGACAAATTTCTCATTTTCTTCAACAAATAAACAACATGGGGTGGGGGAGAAAAAGGGACCGTTACAGCCTAAGAGGCTTTACAATCATGACAGTCAAATGAAATGTGTGGACCTGGTTTGGAGTCTATTTGAACAAGCGAATTGTAAAACCAACCTCTTTGTGATAATCACAAAAATCTGAACATGAACTAGGCAACAGATGATGGGAATTACTGCTACTTTAGTTAAGTATAATAATGGTACTGCAGCTGTGATATTTTTAAAAATCCTTATCTCTTAAAAAGATGTACTGAAGTATTCACAGGTGAAATAATCTGATGGCTGGGATTTGTTTTACAATATTCCAGTCACTTCTTCCCACAAATAAGTTTGGAGGGGAGTGGGGTTGAAATAAGGACGGCAGAATGATAATAGTTGTTGAAGCTGGTTAATAGGTACAAAGACTCATTATACTATTCTCTATTTTTGTGTATGTCTAACAACTTCCATTATAATAAGTTTAAGTTTTCTTAATTTAATAGAGGAAGAGAAAAATAAAGGGACTGCAAATAGTGTAACAGGCCTTTACAACTATATTTATTATTACTACATTATATTATCTATATTGCTTAAAACACTAGATGAAGCATGGACATATTTTCATGATTACCTACTTAAATTAACTGTTTTAATTAAATTTTCATAATTATTTAAATTGAGGCATTCCCAAAAAAACTATACACCTCAAGATGCTGCCCAACTATTATACAAATCCTGACAGGCTCTTCCATTCAAACAAATCAAAAAAATTACTCACGAACACATACCTAAATAATAAATGTTTGGCGCCACCCAGCCACCATAGGGTAACTCTTGCAAATGATTTGAGGCTTCATGGTTTCCCCCAATGAAGATTGTGAGAACTGGGGCCTTTTTCTCTCCAGAGTAATACCTAGAACATAACGGTAAAGTTGTCAGTTGGCATAGCACAAATCAGGCATAGAGAAAAGCAGTAACTCATGCCTATAAAATTGGGCATAGCAGAAAAGCAAAATAAGATCCAAAGGAAAAATTTGAGCGCACTATAAAAAATTAAAAAGGTCTTTCTAAACGAATTGCCTATACTTGTCCTTAAGAATGAAGGGGCTGACACCTTGGATTCAAAGCCAGAGTGCGTTCAATGAGGTCAAGAACTTTGTCAGTTCTTAAACCTTAGCTTCTAGAACGCGGACGAGCACTAAGCAGGCGTCCAATAAAAACTCCTGGATCAGTAAATAAAGCAGTCCCAGAGTCCTATCAAGTACAAGATAGATTAACCTGTCAGCTTCTTCCTGCAGGTTTTTCCCTTAGGCTTCGATTTCCGAAACAGACAAGACAGGTGAAAGGAAATGAGAAAAGTGACATTTACTAAGCAACCGTTCCTAGACACACCGTGAACAAAGAAGGTAACTAAGTAAGACAGCTGGTCAGTGGAAGGGGGGGAATTCGAATCCAGTCCGGGTTCTCTCCCACGAGGCCCGGGCCGCGCCGCTCACCTGTAGAAGGTCTGCATGTGGCGGTACTTGGGCGGGACGGCCATGCAACGCAAGTCGGCCTCGTTGCGCACCGCCTGGAAGTCGCCGCAACACAGCAGAAGATCTATCGGCCCGGGGCCGCGCCTCTCCGCCAGCGCAAGCGTCTCATAGATCTTGTCCAGCTCGCCGTGGCAGCAGCCGGCCACAGCCACCCGCATCCTACCGGCTCGGCTCGAAGCGGGGAGCGCTGCCCGCAAGCCCCTACACCAGAGCTAGCCCAGGCCGGACAGCAAAGCGCGCACTGATCGCTCAGCTCCCGCCAACACTGACTGAGCCCACCCCTCGAAAAGACGCCTGAAATAGAATTCACTTCCGGTTTCCAAATCTCGCGAGAGATGGATAGACAAGGGCAAGAATCACAGGATTTAAGAGCGCTTTATAATCGGCTGGGGCTTTGCTTGTCTTTCTGGGTCCTTGAATTCTAGCAGTCTGACGGATGATAAAAATCAAAACGAGGGGACTCTGGGTGACTCAGTCGGTTAAGCGTCTGCCTTCGGCTGAGGTCAGGATCCCCAGAGTCCTGGGATTGACTCCCCCATGGGGCTCTTGTTCAGTGGGCAGTCTGCTTCTCCCTCTGCCTGCCGCTCGCGCTCTCTCTCTAATAAATAAATAAAATCTTTTTTTAAAAAACCAAAACCAGAATAGTTGGTTTATTTTTTTTAAACCCAGAAACAGTAGTTTAGTTTGATAAAATTAAACCAGACTAAACAAGTGAGACCGTGGGATTGGCTAATTCCCTAGGACGAACCTCTCAAGGCAAAGATAATTGCCTGAAAGCTTACTAGAAATTAAAAGATTTTTTAAAAGACACATCAAACTAAAAATAATTTTTTTAAATAAAACTTAAAAACTCGCTGAGGGTTTCTAAATTACCCACTGAAGAGTTTCTAAAATTATCAGTTATTTTTTTTTAAAGGGGCCGGGGACTCTTCTTCTTCCTACCAAATAGGTGTTTGCATAACTAGACTGCAAGCTCAATGAAAGCAGAAGAATGTCTCGAAAACGTCCAGGAGGGAAAAGAATCAAACAACTGAAAAATAAGTGACCAAGACAGAAAAAGTAAAGCACCACTGGCCAATTTAATCAAGAAAAGTAATCTGTCTAATCAAGATAATACAGAGAGTAACAAATCCATCTCTCATTTTTAAAAAAATGCATAAAATAACATTATAGGAAAAAATGTCGCCAGAATTAATTCAAAAGTAAGCAGAAGATGTTAACAGAACCATGACAATAAGAAAATACTGGAAAAGTCGAAGAAATCCATTGAAAGACATTGTACCCAGAGTGGCTTACAGGCAATTTCTTTCAAATGTACAAGATATAACTTCCATTATGTTTAAACTGAACAAAAGAGAAGCAAGGAATGGAAATCTAGTATTTCCAATCCTTTTTAATACTATATTTTCCTTCTGATTCGGATTTTTAAATATATAAGAGATGCTTTTTACAGCATTGCTAAATTTAACTTTTTCCATTTGATTTTTTAAATTTTATTTAAATTCAATTAACATAGTGTATTATTAGTTTCAGAGATACAGTTCAGTGATTCATCAGTTGCATATAATACCCAGTGCTCATTACATCAAGTGCCCTCCTTAATGCCCATCACCCAGTTACCCCATTCCCCACCCACCTCCCCTCCAGCAACCCTCAGTTTGTTTCCTATAGTTGAGTCTCTTATGGTTTGTCTCCCTGATTTCAACTTATTTTATTTTTCCTTCCCTTCCCCTATGATTCTCTGTTTTGTTTCTAAATTCCACATAAGAGTGAAACCATATAACTGTCTTTCTCTGATTGATTTGGTCTTTCTCTGTCTTTCTCTTGGTCTTTCTCTGTCTTTCTCTGGTCCCATCCACATCATTGCAAAGGGTAAGATTTCATTTTTTTTTTTTGATGGTTGAGTGCTATTCCATTGTGTGTGTGTCTATATATATATATGTATATATATACATATATATCATATCTTCTTTATTCGTCTGCTGATGGATATGTGGGCTCTTTCCATAGTTTGGGTATTGTGCACATTGCTGCTATAAACATTGGGGTGCAGGTCCCCCTTTGGATCACTATGTATCCTTTGAGTAAATACCTAGTAATGCAATTGCTGGGTCATAGGGTAGCTCTATTTTCAACCATTGAGGAACCTCCATACTGCTTTCCAGAGTGGCTGCACCAGCTTGCATTCCCACCAGCAGTGTAAAAGTGTTCCCCTTTTTCCACACCCTTGCCAACATTTGTTGTTTCCTGACTCATTCATTTTAGCCATTCTGACTCATGTGAGGTGGTATCTCATTGAGGTTTTGATTTGGATTTCCCTGATGTTGAGTGATGTTGAGCATTTTTTCATGTGTCTGTTGGCCATTTGGATGTCTTCTTTGGAGAAATATCTGTTCATGTCTTCTGCCCATTTCTTGACTGGATTACTTATTTTTTGGATATTGAGTTTTGTAAGTTCTTTATAGATCTTGGATACAAGCCCTTTATCTGATAAGACACTTGCAAATATCTTCTCCCATTCTGTCGGTTGTCTTTTGGTTTTGTTGACTGTTTCCTTTGCTGTGCAAAAGCTTTTTATCTTGATGAAGTCCCAACAGTTCATTTTTGCTTTTGTTTCCCTTGCCTTTGGAGACATGTCTAGTGAGAAGTTCCTGCAGCCAAGGTCGAAGAGGTTGCTGCCTGTGTTCTCTAGGATTTTGATGGATTCCTGTCTCATATTTAGGTCTTTCATCCATTTTGAGTTTATCTTTGTGTATGGTGTAAGAAAGTGGTCCAGTTTCATTCTTCTACATGTAGCTGTCCAATTTTCCCAACACCATTTGTTGAAGAGACTGTCTTTTTTCCATTGGATATTCTTTCCTGCTTTGTCGAAGATTACTTGATCATAGATCCATTTGATTTTTAATCTACAGGAATTATCATTTTCTGGATCCCTTTTTCTTCCATATAAAATATTTTAATTGAGGTCCAATTTGAAGTAACATGAACAAATTAAAACTTAAGAGCCCATTCTGATGCATTTTTACATATGTAATCACCCATATAACCACCACCCATATCAAGATATAAAATATTTCCAGCATTCAGAAAGGCTCCTTTGTACTTCCTCACAAGTCCCTACACCCAAAAGAAAAGCACTATTCTAATCTCTATCAATATAGATGAGCTTTGCTTGTTGTTTTTTTTCTAATTCCAGTATAGTTAACATACAGTGTTATATTAGTTTCAGGTGTACAATGTAGTGACTCGACAATTCTATACATGACTCAATGTTCATCATAAGTGGACTCTTAATCCCCTTCACCTATTTCACCTTTGCTTGTTTACAGACTTCATATAAATGTCAATATATATTATGAACTTAATTTAGTGTCTGTGAGATTCATCTGTAAGTCTATAATATAAATAGATATAATCATAGGATGCTGTTTCTTGTTACTGTGTAGTATTCCATTGTGTGAACATACCACAGTTTGCTTGTCTATTGTCCTGCTGAAGGACAATTGGATTGTTTCTACTTTGGGGCTATTATGAATAAAACCACGATGTACATTCTTGTAAGAATCTTTTAGTGGACATAGCACTTATTTCCCTTGGATTATGTCCAGGAATATAATTTCTGGGTATAGAGTAGATATATGTTTAGCTTTGATAGCTAGGTCAGTTTCCAAAGTGTTCCAATCACACTTTCCTAAGGAATATAAAACATTCCAATTATTCCATGTGCTCAACGGCCTTGATATTGTCTATCTGTTATATTTTAGCCATTTCCTTACATTTTCTGCAATGGTATCTCCTTATGATTTCCATGCAGAGTTTATAAGAAAATTTTAATATATCAGTCTTTTGGATTTTCTTCTTTTGTGACCAATAGGAAACAATAACCTAATATCATAACATTCAAAAACTAGTGGTCAAAGCAGGAAATAAAAGATGAAAATAAGGATGAAGTGCGTTGTGGCTCAGCTCCTGTTTCCAACCCACACCCCATTTCTAGAGGCCATACCAGTGAGTAAACAAACTTGAGAATTCTCACTGACTTTCTTAAATCCAGAGAGAATCAAGTTTAGTAGAAAGTCTCACCCTCTTCCCATTCTGAATGAGGAGAAATAGAAAAATTGTTGGAGAAAAATGGATTGAATGAACAATGAAGATAATTCTTTTTGAAAATGTGAAAAGGCACACTCACTGGACAGACAGGTACCCTCAAAGTGTGTGTGTGTGTAGTCCCATGGGGAAACAAACAGGTCTCAGACCTGCTGGGAAAGAAATTCCTTGATTCTATCAGAGCAAAGGCAATATCTAGATAGAAGCACTCAGCAATGAGCAAGATGAAAAGAGAAACCACATGTTACAATGGAAATATGCTAAAAAGAGCATAATCTGGGATGAGGCTGAACAGGTGTTCATTAAAACTTCTTAGGGACAACCAGACCTTGGTGTCTAAATACCATTCCCCTCTAAAAGAAATGAAGTCTTGTTGAAGTAGTTGATTCTAGGACAGAGAAAGTACAAAATGAACATGGATCATATTGTGCAAGAAAGCAAGGAAGTGTTCAAAGAATCTCAGACATCAAAAGACACCAATTGAAGGTCTTGCCACTGGCCACATCTGAAACAATTTCAGCATCAAAATGCATAATCATAGTAACAGGCTATAGGCCATCAAATAAAGCAGGAATATACTACAGTTGACCCTTGAACAATGTGGGGGTTAGGGGCACAGACGCCCACACAATCAAAAATCCATGTATAACTTAACTACCAATAGCCTACTGTTGACCGGAAGACTTAATGATAACGTAAACAGTTAAGTAACACATATTTTGTGTTTTATATGTATTGCATAGTGTATTCTTACAATAAAGTAAGCTGGACCGAAACAAATGTTATTAGGAAAATCATACGGAAGAGAAAATACATTTATAAGTACATAAGAAAATACATTTTCTTATAAATACATTTATAAGAAAAAAATCCATGTATAAGTGGACCCACACAGTTCAAACCCATGTTGTTCAAGGGTCAACTGTATTCTATACTGATATAAATAAATAATAGGGGAAAGAGAGGGATCTTATTTACACAAGAATGCTGATTGGTAAATATGGAAGGAAAGTTGGATTAGAGATAACCGTTTTGTCATCATCATCATCATTGTTTCAAGCAAGAATATTCAACTAATGCTAAAACCACTGAGTAAAACTTTAGAGAGTAATAGGATACTTACATAGTTTCAACGTATCTATTATTTGAGACTACTTAGTCTCAAAG